CCCTCACAGGAGTCCCGCCGCTGGCTCGACGCGCCGCCGACGCACCTGCTGCCGTTTGACGCCAACGCGGCGCGCCGCCATGGCTTCCACCTGGGGCCGCCGGCGCAGGCGGATTACTACGCACTGCTGCAGGTCGGGGCGGGCGCGGTGCCGCAGGGATGGAGGGGGACCAGGGCACAGGAGATTGGGCCTGGGCCGCGCGGGCCTGACATGGTTGAGGTTTTAGAGGGGGCTCACCCCTGTTGTCGGCGGCGGGGCCGTCCTTGGCGGCGCCCGCAGCGGCGGTGGGGGCGCGGAGCCGGCGCACCTGTGGTCCCTGTGGAGCCAACCAGCCGGCTTTGCTGCCGGGGCGGACCGATCCTCACCCTCGTTGCAACGCTGCCTCGGCCGACGCCGCGGGAAGCACCGATTTGAACCTAGACGCTCCCCGTTATCTGTCAACCCACCCCGCCCCGTCACTTCAACCAAACAATCCCCCAAAAACAATTGCACACCCCAAAAGGTTCCGCGGGATGCACCCCCTGACGTGATCAAGCGGCAGTACTACCTTCTTGCGCGCCGCGTGCACCCCGACAAGGCGGCGGCAGACCCAGAAGCAAAGGCCAAGTTCCAGGCCCTGGGGGAGGCATACCAGGTGGGGGCTGCGCTCCAGGGTTTGGGGGGGAAGGCCCTGGGGTTTTGGGGGTATTAGGATTTGGGGGTTTTGGGGGTGTTTGGCTCTGGGGTTCGGGGGTCTCTGTGGGGATTTGATGGGTCCCTGGGGTTGCAGGAGGGTCTGAGGGCCTGGAGGTTTTTGGCAGGTTTGCCTGGCCTAGTCTGGGCGCAACACAGGCCTTGTTGGAGCACAACGACGGGAGGCTGATTTTCATTTCTGCGTTTGCGGCAGCCGCAAGGGCGCCGCAGCGTGCGCGTGGCAGTGCCCTCAGGTGGCAGCCAAAGCGGCGGAGCCAACTGCGATTTGGCGTCCGCGATTATGGGGGCGTCGTAGCACGCGCTGCGCCTGGGATGTCGTCGCGTCGCAAGGGCTCGACGAAGGCCGCCACTGTTTCACATCTGACGCGCCGCCCCTCAGCGCACCGCCCCGCGACCCGGCCCCCCTCTCATTCGCCTACCCGGCCCTCCCTCCGCAGCACCGCCACCCTTTTTGACCCTGCTGTGCCCAACTCCTCTCATCGCCGCCACGCCAGGTGCTGTCCAACCCTGAGCTGCGGGCGCGCTACGACCGCAGCGGCGCAGAGGGCCTCGACCAGGTGGGGGTGATGTCATCGGGTGACGTCAGAGGGTGACGGCACAGGGTGACACATAAGGGTGACGCAGGAGTGGCAGAGAGTGACGGCAGAGGGCGACGGCAGGGGCCATGCGGGTGACCTGGAAGAAAGGGCGCTGTGTCACTGTGGAGGGGCGGGGCGCAGGCCGGCGGGGCGCATGCATGGGTGGGACTATGCACATCTTCAGAAATCGCAGAGTGCCGCGTGGGTGTGCCTTGCAGTCGGACGGATTGTGCTCTGCGTGGGGACGCACGCCCAAGCGCCGGCTGGCGGCCGCGCGGCGCAGTTACGGCGTCGGCCTTGGACGCACCCACCCCTAGGGTTGAGGGTTGAGAGTTTTGTGTGCAGCCGCGGCGTTGACGTCGATCCTCCCCCCCTCCCCCCCAACCCAAGGTGGACTTTATGGATGGGGCCGCGTTCTTCAGCGCGCTCTTTGGCAGCGAGCTGTTTGACCACTTGATAGGGGAGCTGGCCATCGCCACCGTGGCGGGGTGAGCGGCCCCGCGGCGCGCCCGCAGGCGGGGGCCGCGGGTTGCGAGGGAGCTGGCGGGGCGCCGCGGAGTGCATGAGGATTGACATGAGGGCCGGGCAGGGGCAGTCGTGGCGTGGCCGGAGCGCTGTTATACCTGACCGACCGGCTGGCTACCTGGGGTGCGACGGGGGCCGCACGCTGCCCTTCACGCCGCAACCCCGGTGCTGGACAAACCCCGGCCCCACGTGCTCTCAACCCTCTATTCTACATCCAGCCCCTGGCCAAAACGCCAAGCCTCCCTCCTGACCCGAAATTCTCATGCCCAAACCTTGAACCCTGAACCCTGGACCCTAAACCCCTGAAAAACCCCTGGGCCCCAGGGCTGGTGGCGAGCTGGACGTGGCTGAGCTGCGCAAGGCCCAGGCCGCGCGGGTGGAGCAGCTGGCTGTGAACCTCAAGGCCCTGCTGCGGAGATACGTGGAGGGGGACACGGGCGGCTACGAGGTGGGGGCCGCGCTGGCGGGCGGGCCGCTGGGCGGGGTGTGTGGGGTGTGTGCGGGGCCGGGGGCGGCCCCCGCCGCGCGGGCGGGCGCCGGCTAATGCGCCTTCATGGTGCTGGACGAGCGGCGCTTCTGCGGCTGCGTGCGCTTTGGTTTGCTGGCCGTTCGCGCAGTCAGCGCCGACGGTGCTTTTTCTGAAAGACCTCAAAACGGCACGTGGGGTGTCCCATCATGGGTGATAATCCTGCCCGCGCGACCGTTTCGTTTCACGCCGTCCCCGTTCGCAGCTCTCCCAGCGCTGCGAGGCGGCGCGGCTGGCGGAGGCGTCGTTCGGAGACACGCTGCTGCACTGCATAGGCCAGGTGCGCGGCTGGAGGGGGCCCGAGGGGGGGGTTGGAAGGGTTGAGTTTCGAGGGCATGGGCATTTGTGGTGGGAGCCGCTGTGACAGGGGCGATGGTGGTTGTTTTAGTGGTGGCGGGGGTGGCGGTGGTTGCGGTGGTTCTGGTGTTGGTTTGATGCCTGCTGCCTTGGTGGGGCGCCTGCCAGCCCGCCAGCCGCGCGGCCAATAGCGCCCGGACGCACGTGCGAGGCAGCACATGCACGTGGCCGTGAGGTGCACACTGCTCCTGGCCACGGCTTGGCCTCTTGAGGGCGCCCTGACGGCGGGCCCGGCTGCGCCCGCATTGCCCCTCCCTCTGCTGGCCCCACCACGCCCCTACCGCCCCCCTGCCCACCCCAAGGGGCTCGACAACCTGCCCCATGCCGCCTCGACTCCTCAGTCAGGCCGCCCACACCGCCCTCTGCACCGGCCCCCACGCAACCCTCCCCTCCCCCCACCCCCTCCAGGTGTACTCCATGCAGTCCGACATATTCCTGGGCGGCGTGCTGGACGGCACCTGGGCGCGCGTCAAGCAGGGCCGGCAGACGATCAGGTGCGGCCCCGGGTTGCGTTTGGGACTGCACATGGGGCTGGCGGCAGCGGTGGGCGGCTTGGAGCTAGCGAGGCGGCGCCTGGGCGGAGGCAGCGCCGGCCTTGCGCGGCTCGGCGCCGCCGCCGCCTGCACTCACGCATGCGGCGCGGCTGGTTGGCCCGCCGCCGCTGCTCGGCCCGTGCGCGCGGTCCCGCCGCAACGCTGCAATTTCCCTTTGGCGTTGAGCGCTGCACCTGCAGCCTCCGCCCCCCCCCTACTGGCCAGTTGGGGTTGGGTTTTACAGTGGAAATTGGCAAACCCCCCAGCACCACCCCCACTTCTTGAGAATCATCCCGCACTTAATAAACGACCGACCGCCCATCTCGAACCAGGTCCCACATGGACATCGCCGGCGCCGCCCTGAGGGTGATGAGTCACCAGGAAAAGGTCGCAGAATTTGACCGGGAGTGCGACAAGCGCCGCCGCGTGCGAGAGCAGGAGGCGGCGGCAGCCGCCGCTCGGCGGCTAGCGGCGGACGCTCGGGGTGGCAGCGGCGCAGGGGAAGGGGAGGCGGCGCGGTGGGCGCCGCAGCCACGGCCGCAGGGGGTTGGTGAGGGCACGGGCGGCAGGGCGACGGCGGGGACGGAAGCGTATGGGCAGGGGCAGCGGCGGCAGGAGACGTCGCCTGCGGCGGCGCGGCAGCGACCTTCTGAGCGGGCCGAGCGCTTCAGCGCCCGGGAAACGCAAACGGGCCGCAGCAAGGGCCCTCGCGGCGGCGGCGGTGGCGGCGGCGGCGGCAGCATCAGCAGCAGTAGCAGCGCAGAGGCGCTCGCGTCGGATGCGCCCGACAGCAGTGGCGGCGCAGCAGGACGGCAATCAGGCGGCGGCGGCGGTGGTGGTTGTGAATCTGGCGGCGTGCCTATGGAGGAATTGATAGCACGGAGCCGGCTTGAGGATACGAGCTTGAATCTTGTGATGGAGGCGATGTGGGCCGCCAATGTGGTGGACATCCAGGCCACACTCAGCAAGGTGGGGGCACTTTGGAGAGCGTGTGTGTTTGCGTGTGTGTGTGTGTGTGTGTGTGTGTGTGCGCGCGTGCGTGTGCATGTGCGTGCTGATGTGTGCGTGCGCATGTGTGCAAGGGCTCGTTGGCTTGAGTGCTGGCCTGTTTGTCGCCCATCTAGCAGAGAGCATGTCAGGCCAACAGGGTATGTATATCGTTTATGCGTGCGTACTTGCGCGCAAGTGCGATACATGCGACGGATTGTAACTGGGGGGAGGGTGAAGGCAGGCCACCTCGCAAAGAGCAGCTCATCCGCTCGCTCCTTGCAGCGCGGCTCTCACAGGGCAATGCGGACGCACGTCCAACCCCCCCCCCCCAAAAAAAACACCTACACACAACACACACGCACACATAAACACCTGCAACACACTCGCACGCGCACACACACACATACACACACACACACACACACACGCATGCACGCACGTGCGTGCGCGCCCGCACACACACCTTCAACGCACACGCACACAAAAATGCAATCCCCTCAGGTCTGCCGCCGCGTGCTGCACGACAAGGCGGCCGGCAAGGCTGTCTGCAGAAAGCGGGCGCAGGGGCTCAGGTGCGCGCTTGGGCGGACGGGGGCTCGAAACCGGCCGCGCAGTAGAGCGCGGCGCGCGTTCGCTCAGGCGGCTCGTACCCGGGTGCCATGGCAGGCGCGGCGGCGGCCCCGGCGGGCGCAGCTTCTTGGGGGATCTCTCGCCCGCTTGGCGTCGTCCCTGGTGCAGCACCTTCTCATCTCTATCCAACATTCTCCCTCTCGTCACTCCCCACCCCAAGGCTCGCGGGCGAGATTTTCCAGTCCGCCGCCGCCAGCCAAGCTGCCAGTCCATCCGGCGGCGGCGGCGGCGGCGGCAGCCGCGGGGGCGGCGGCGGCGGCCGCCCCAAGCGTGACGCGAAGGAGGCTATGGAGCGCGCCTTCCTGGCCGTGATGGAGCGGCGCATGGCGGCGGACGCAGAGGAGGACGCATTGGCGGCGGCAGGGCAGTGACAGCGGCGGCGCGCGCGCCACCCGCCATGCGGCACGCCCGTGTGCGGACGCGCACGCCCTGATTCGGGCCCGCGGCGCGGGCTGTGACGCGCGTGTATGTGTGCTGTTGGCACGCCGGGGAGTGCCACGGCCCTGGTCTGAACTCACATCAGAAAGGCCGTCGCTCCGCTGTACCCTGCGCGTGTGCGCGCATCCGCTACCCCGCCGTCCCCATTGGTCGACGGGTAGCGGCCCCCTTATAGACTTGAGGGTGTGAAGTCAAACATGTGAAGTTGACTTTTGTAGCGACGCGCCTGCAGTGCTTTGCGTGTGTTTTGGTAGCTTTTCTTGTGCAGAGGTCGCAGCGGCGGGCGCATGCGCTTGCGCGCGCGGGCGTGTGTGTGTGGACCCAGCGCGGCCGCTGCGACTGCCCTGCCAGGCAGCTGCGAGGACAACTGATGATGTCACTGGCTGTTGCCATGCGGTGACGTCCCCTTATGCAGCACCCTGTCCCCCATTGCGCCTCCAAGGCATCCATCCTGCGGCGCCCCCCCCCCCCCTTCATGCGGCCAATTCGCCGCCACAGACTGTTAACCGCGCGCGGGATGGGTCGGCCTCTTGTGCTTTGCTTGAGCGCATGACCTTCCGACAATCTGACCCCCGCTCACTGTTCACTTGCAAGAGAGTGATCGCCCCTGCCCTTCCGCCTGGCATTTTTGCCCACCCCCGGTGGCGGTTAGCAGGTCTTGAACCCAGCAAAGTCGTCACCCAAGCTGCTTGAAACATCTTTGCCGTCCAACGCCACGGACATGGGTCACCCAAGGCGCGTCCTGTAACTCTGCTCCTTGAAGCAGGTTGTGACGACGCACCCTGCTGCGCTGGGGATTTCGAGGCTGGTGCAACTGCCAAGCAACCGACGCCTCTGGTGAGCGCGAGTGCAGAGGCAAACTCGAGTGGTGCACGCGTGCAGTAAGCTCTGTATTTGCCCGCAATATTTCTAAATCGCTCCATGTGGCTCAGCTGCTCGGCCGGATTGGCGGCGAGCCTGCCGAGCCGACGCAGTTGCAACAGGAAGATCGGCCGCGCCTTCAAAAGGCTCGCTCAGTTCCTTCCTTCAAACAACCATAAACACTGGTAGCAGTACCCATGTTCTGTCTGTCGCAAGTCGCCTACGCCTTACTTTGAAGAGGGTCAGTGCGCGTGCAGCAAACATGAGGATCGCGGCCTATATCTGCGCTTTCGGGGCCGTCCTTCTGGCTGGTACGGCCAATTAGCGCAGCACACGTGGTGCTGCTGTGCTATGATGTATAGAGACCCGCACCCCCAGACCGACCAGCGGCGCACAGCGGTTTGCGGCCGTCCCACCTTCACCTTGCCGGTGCACCCTGCCGCCCATCCCGCCGCATGCTTACACCTGCACCCTCGCCTACCGCACGCACACACCCAAACGCGCTGCCCGCAGCCCAAGCAGCCCAAGCCGCGCACGCCGCCAGCGCCCAGCAGGCCTCCTTCCCCACCTTTCTGGCAGCCCTGGGCGCCACCCCCAACACGAATTATGGGAAGCAGATAGTGGAGAGCCTCAGGCTGCAGACAACCCTCAGCAACCCCAAGCTGGCTCTCACCATCTTCATGCCGGAGGACAAGGTTTGTGACGTGCATCTTTTCCGGGCAGGGACCCGTTCGGATTGCCTGCGGGATGGGCGACCAGCCATCAACAGCAGGCCCCTCCTTCAAAGGGCCCTGTAGCCAGCCGGCCTCCCACTCTTGCTCCCTCCACACCAGCCTGATCCCGGCATCACCCTGCCTTTGTCATCCCCCGTAATCACCCCTCTCCCGTGACGCCAGTACTTTGACGCCCTGGCCGCCAAGCTCAACGTGAAGCCCACCGCCATGAGCAAGAACACCGGCCTCATGAGGCAGGCGCGTGGCCGGAACAGCAACGGGGATGCCATTAGCGGCGGGCTTGCCGCGAGGGGCGTGCCCCCGACGTGTTGCCACGCCGCGGCCCGCGACGCTATCCTGAAAAACTGCCGGCGGCTCCTCCCTTGACTCGCCGCGCCGACAACGAAAGACGCATAGCCCCCGTGAGCCGCAACCCTGCCGGCCCCCTCCCCCCCAAAACAATCACGCCCCAGGTGCTGCTCTACCACTTTGTGACGGGCCCCACCGGCGTGCGCAAGGTGCTGCCCACCTCTGCCCTCCAGGCGGGCCAGCGCCTGGACACCATGTACCAGAGCTCCACCACCAGGAAGCCCTACCAGCTGGCGGTCAACGCGGTCAACGGCAAGCTGCAGGTGGGGCCATGCGGGCCGCGGCACGCGGCGGGGCGTCGTATTCCAAGGGATGTTGAGGGCGGGCAGGCCGTGGTGCCTAGAGGAGTGCTTTGAACGCGGAAATCGGCGCACGTGGTCGCCGTCACCATTGCTCATGCGCTGCTTCTGAAGACTGAAAGAAGGCCCGCTGAACCGCATACTTACGCTGGCATTGTTGGGACCGCTGGGAAAAAAACTGCCTCCCCCTGCCC